TTAGGGGACCATGTCTGCTTTCGTGGCCCCAAATCTAGAGTAAGAAGCATCTATTTACCTTCATAAAGGAAGTCTGTCCAATTTCTACCCCCTAATGGGTTGCTCCAGGCTTTATGTGAAGGACTGCACACCAAACTGGATGGGGCAAGAAAATAACTGAGGGATATTTGAAGAAGTGGGTCTTAAGGATCTGGAAAACTAAAGGCAAGCAATGTGTGTCACAAAATCCCACCAATGGATGAATCTCAGTTTTTAAAGTTAAACATTCTTCTGCTATGTATTTCTTATAAAAACATACACTTTGGGGGGAGATTGGATATGTTCAGCTGTTCGTTGACAGGGATTATGATGCCTGTTATATACTATTAGTAAATTCCAGAACTGTACTTAAAATTTTACTTTTCAATAATTATCATGTGGACGTGCGTGTGTGTGTGTGAGAGAGAGAGAGTCAGTCCATGAGGTTGATATATGAATATTTATGTATTTAATATTTAGAAATACAACTGTTGGTTTTAAAGTATTACCAAACTGATCTGTAATTATTACACAGGGAATTAATAGAAGAGTTGCATCCTATAATTAAAGAAGCACTTGAAAGAAGGCCAGAGGTAATAAATATTTTAAAAATTATGTTGAGTATCCAGTAATTTCTGCATTTCTAATTTAAATTTAACTCGACTGTGTTGTTTCTCTGTGTCATATAATATATGTGGATATATGCATAAATTTGTATTTATTTTATCATGTTTATGTAGTGTATATTGGAGGTGGTGATCCTTTGAAAGATGTATACAACGAAATTTCATTTTAATGTATGCTGATTCATGTACATTCATAGTGACAATAAAGTTACTCTAAGTTCTAAATATTAAATAGAAGCATTAAAATTTGTGGCACATCAGATTTTACACAGTGGCCTTTGAAATAACAGCATATTTGAAAAGCCCCTGGTTGTGGAGAGAGAACATCTAGCAGGCATCAGGAGCTGGGTCACTTTCTCTGGGGATTCAGCAGGATTGTACCTAATCAGTACAGGTAGCCCTCGACTTACATCAGTTCATTTAATGACCATTCAAAGTTACAACGGCACTGAAAAAGGTGACTTATGACCGTTTTTCACATTTATGACCTTCAAAGCATTTCCATTGATCATGTGATCAAAATTCAGATGCTTTCAAGCAAACTCAATGGGGGAGCAAGATTTACTTAACAGCCAGGTTACTAACTTATCAGCCGCAGGGATTCATTTTACAACTGTGGCAAGGAAGGTCATAAAATGGGGCAAAACTCACTTAACAAATATCTCACTTAACAACAGACATTTGGGGCTCAATTGTGGTCGTAAGTCGAGGACTACTTGTATTTTGGTGGAAGGCCTGCAGGGAATACCCAGATTAGATTTGGAAGCTGAAAAAACCTCCAGGAAGACGGCCCTAGCAAATGAACATTGGTACTAATGCCAAGAAAATAGCATAGAGATGCCCATGGAGACAGACAGCAGGAGAGCAGCTCATGTCAAAGTCAGTAACAGCATACAGGACTGGTTTGCCCAAGAAGAAGATAAAGGCCTAACCGTGATTTGGTAGGTTTTAGTTTATCACAGAAGGCTGGTGGCTGGCCCAATGTTGATTTCCACGTTTTTGTTTCCATCTTATGCCTTAAACTATGCTCAGAATTACAGGATGGGGAGTTTGCACATTTTGTGATTCAGAAGTTTCCAGCGGAGCTTTTTCTTTTTTTACTATTTGAGCCACACATAAACCCAATTTATTTTGACCTGTGAGTATTAATGTTGAAGTATAAATGGTTGAATGTTCACATTTATGTTGTGCACAATACCTGTTTCTATGGTAAGATTAAATGTATTGTCCTGAAGGAAATCTTTTTCTGCATCCAGTTGAATTGCATAGGATTTATATTTCCTTTACTGTCCATTATATTTTGAATAAGACCTTTATCTTGGTAAAGGTTACATACATTAAATTAATAATAGTCTAGTATCACATATAAATATATGCATGTCTAATATTGTTCTGCTGATAAAGGAGAATATTTGTAGCTTGAGGATGAAGAGGGATCCTTGGTGCTTTCTGACTGTGGTTGTTTTCTTGCAGACATTTCATTACCCAATGATGTTACTTAGTTTGGGTAATGAAATGTCTGCAAGAAAACAACCAACCTCAGAGAGCATCAAAGACCCCCCGCAGAAAACAACACATTTATGCTTTAACTTTTGAAATTTCCATTTTTTGCAAAAATGCCAAATTTGTGCAATAATTATCAGTTTTCCAAAACAAAGCATCATATTGTTTATCTTTGCAAACAGAAGTTAAATGTCCAAATGGGCATGTTACTGTGCTGATGTCTAATATCAATATCGCTTTATCATGCTGTTCTCTTTTAACTTCTAAAACAGAATATGAAACGACGTAGGCGGCGAGACATATTACGTGTGCAACTTGTACGAATATTTGAATTGTTGGCAGATGCTGGTGTCATTAGTCACAGGTAAGCAATCAATTTTTTATTCATCCATACACCAGCAAAAACATAGGTAAGTATGTTACCTAAGAATGGTCTGCAGAAAACTACTTTAAATACTGTGCTGATGTGCTGAAGAGGATCATATGACATTATTATTTATTTGATTTATACCTCACCTTTCTTTCAGGTAGTTAAGGCAATGTGCACAATATTCCTGTTTTCTCCCTACAAATCTCCCCAATGATGTAGGTTGGACTGAGGCACACGGTGATTTCCCAGATATTAGTCCATTTAATCGCAATGGTTTTCATTCACTCACACTTTCTCTATAGTAGAATTATATCAGCATTATAGATCACAAATTATGGAGTAGTTCTCTGATTCAGTGTTTCTCAACCTTGGCCACTTGAAGAAATGTGGATAATTCTGCGAATTGAAGCCCACTCATCTTAAAGTGTTCCAGGTTGAGAAAAATGGATTAATTCATCTAGCATTGCTACAGTGGCTCATATAAAAAAAATATTACAGAGACACATATAGCCTGAGAGTTTATACTAATCTGTCGATCATCAAAATTCTTCCCTACCTATTGCGGCTGTTCCTACTGCAATTGCCCTCCTCCCATAGGCATTTATATTTCAGGAATTGTTTGTGCATGAGAGATGAGATATTCATCAACTCTTGCTCATGATGATCCATTGCCCCTTTCGAAACTCAAAAATGCAATGCCCAAAATCTTTATTGGGCTTTATTTTATAAGAAGTGAAGATGGGGCTTGCCACTATAAATAAATCCCAAGAAGCAACTTGGCTTCCACACAGAACCCTCATTTCCATCCAGTAAAGCCCTCCGAGGAAATATTTCAACCAGTGAGTTCAGCTGCTCTTCTGTTCTCCAGCAGATTGATGAGCTCAAATCTGTTGGCATTTTGAATAATGGGCCCCTTTTCTCATGAGTGGTACTAGAAAGGGAGGGAGATAAATGAACTCATAGAATATTTCCCCTATTTAGAAAATTCTTAACATGTTACTGACAATAATAGTTAATTTATTGGTTAATAATTATTTTGTGTGTTGTTTTGGTTGAGTCTTAACAAAGGCAGAATGCAGCTATGCGTTTTGGACATTTCTTCCCCCACAGGCAAAAAGAATTATAAAACAATTATCTTCACCAAAACAAGATATCCATATTTTGCACCCTATACTAAAGGATGTTTAGATATCTTTTCATAGTACTAGGGGTAGAATACAATATCCAGTTTCAACCATAGAATAAGAATGTCCAAAATGTTCAAATTCAGACAAGCAGTTTCAACTGTACTGGAAGTGGCTCAGACTTGAAACAGGCCTGCTTGGAGATGTTCTTAGCCAGAAATACTTCTGACATATAGCTAGAACAATAGCAAATACTTATACAAATATCAAAACATCTATTTTCAGTTTAAAATGAGCCTTTGAAACTTGAATAAAATTGGGGGGGAAATGCATAGTATTATTATATAAATCACCGCTACTATACTGTATTCAGGATTCCATGATATTCATATATTTGACCTTACAATACTAACATTTTTCTTCTCAAATCTGCCTATAGTTTGCAATAATTTGGTGATATATTTTTTTACAAGTCTATATTAAAATGCTTGTGCTGTTCTTTGTAGTGCAAGTGGCGGCCTTGATAATGAAACACATTCCCTGAACAATACTTTACTGGAGTATGTGGATCTTACCAGACAACTGCTGGAAGCAGAAAATGAAAAGGACTCTGACACACTGAAAGATATCCGTTGCCATTTTAGTGCCTTAGTGGCAAATATTATTCAGAACGTTCCAGGTATTCACAATATTTCCCCCCCTCCCAATTTTTTTGTTTATATTTCAAGCTCAACACATCTGATGTGGAATGTATTATTTCTTGCAACTTGAAAACTGCTGATGAATTATGGGTTGTAATTAAAACCTCTTAAAATTCCAGTCATCTCGCTCTTCCCTAGGAAGAATGGCAAACCGATTCTGAAAAATTTTTTACCAAGAAAACTGTCCACACTCATACATCCACATCCACGCATGCACACATACAAATCCAGTTTAACTTTTTTATAGATTGAGCAGCTAATAATAAAGTTGTCATGTCATGTCTTCTGTAATTTATATCAATAAGTCTATGTATCAGTGGGATATTCCACAAACAGGACCTCCAGTTTGAAGTAGACAGATCCCATACATGCTGGAGGGATCCCCCACAACCATTTTTTTTAGGGGGGGGGGGGCTTCTTCCCAGTTGTGCAATGTCCATATTTGATCTGTTGACCTGGATGTTCAGTTTTAATGTCCTTTACCAAGAGGTGCCCTTTCACCTGTGAGGGTAACCAAGATCGATCTGATTACAGATCAAGGTAATATTACATGGGGAGGAAGGGAGAAGTAACTTTTGTAGTACTTGCATGGACTTTGCTGAAGAAAATCTTAGTATTTGGCTTGTTCCTTTTTTTTAAACAATAATGAGAAATATTGTCTCTTTTTCATATTTTAATTTCATTTGTTGCAAAAACATTTCCTCTGTTATTTTCCACTGTTATGCAGTGCATCAGAGAAGGAGCGTCTTTCCACAGCAGAGCCTCCGTCACAGTCTATTTATGTTGTTTAGTCACTGGGCTGGACCTTTCAGCATCATGTTTACTCCTCTGGACAGATACAGTGATAGAAATATGCAGATAAATAGGCATCAGTACTGTGCATTAAAGGTAATAAGCTGGCTCATGCTTAGCCTTTATTGTAGAATTTTGTTATATACCTATGATGACACAAGTTGTCTGCGATGATCATAACTCTTCTGTAGTGGTTGCCAAAAATTGGACAGTAATTGCACAAAATAGCATCCTTTATTGCTCCAAATGATTATGATCCTTGATAAATAATATAAAGGCATACAGCTAAAGAATGTTCAGCTTTCTTAGTTCTTGGGGAATGAAATAATAAATATTTACAAATATATTTTTTATAAATATATACTTTAAATATTATATAACTATATAAAACTATAATTATATATAACTGTAAATTATATATAGTTATATAATAAAGCTGAATACCATATATATATATATATATATATATATATATATATATATATATA